GAGAGGAATGGGAACAAGCCCCCTGCGAGACACGGCGCATTCGACCCCTGTTCTGATGCAACTCGTAGCCCCTCAGACTTTTGACTGCCACCATCACGGGACGAGGACAGAACACGGGGATGGAGAGACAACAAAGAGGAGAGGAAGGGAAAAGGGGAGCCCATGTCAAAAACGGAAACGCCGGAAACTGGAATCTGGGAAAAATGCCGGCAATCCGAGCCAGACAACTGTGGACCCACCAAAGTAGAAAGCTTAGAAGATTGGCCCCCGATGTGGTCAGGATCGGGGCCAGTCCCCCCGGGGCCAGAAGGAAGGGAGAGGGTTCCGAAGGAACCCCAACCGTCCCCCCCTCAATGTCGCTTGCGGGGATCTGTTGACAAAACTGTGTGCTAGCAGGAGGTTGTCGCTGCCGCCCAGGCACTAAACAAGTTTCAATAGGATAGTCGTGCTGCGCACTTTCCTGAGAAAGTGTGGCTTTGCAATCAGGAGGGAAGGCAACCTCATAATCTCAACTGATTGTGGGGTTGCCCCTGGACCGCCCAAAAGTAAACTGCAGTAACCAACCTGGAAGCGTGCCTTTCGAGGAGGCCTGCGACTTACCCGAGTGGTGGTGAGGTAAAGTGCTAGTGCAAGTGCGTGTGAGTTTGTCCGCCTGCGCTTTTCCACTACTGTCTTTGGCTAGCTATTGCTAGCTTTTCTCTACACTACCGTGTAAACCCTGGGAGGAGTTCCTGGGGTTGGTGGTGGGCTAGTTAGTATAAAGCTAACGCACGGGATCTCGTTGTCGCCGGAGATAGTGGTCCTGCTTTCGAAGGCAGTGCGGCTCGAACTCCGGCCATTGTTGGTGGCAGTGATCCGCCCGGAACCATGTTGCTTCCTCGCCGTGGTTGCTCTTGCATGGTTGTCCGCCGGGTAGTCAGGCCGGGATTGCTCGAGGACGCTGGCTCCGGACTTGGGCTCCGAGGGCTCGAGGGTTCGGTCTGCGTCGCTGAGGTCATCACCGGTCCTCGGGCCAAGTTGATCACCATGCGTGCCGTGGGACGAATGACGAAGAGTAGTCGCATCATCATAGCTCGCCCGCCGCGTCTGGTAGATGCGCTCCTTGTTGGCGCGGGACGAGGTCGCTTGAAAGCCGTGAGGGAGTACGCAAGAGACGGGCTGGGGAGGTCACTGCTGGGGCAGTCGTGGGCCAAGCTGAGCAACTCGAACTCCTGACGTCGGTGGTCCTCAATTTTAGTTTCGGCTTTCCTCAGGGAAGCAATCATGTCCTGACTGAATAGATTCGTGGGGAGCCTCAACGCACCTGAAGGTCCTATGTGCAAGGCAATCACAGCATCACACTTGGTCAGCTTTAGCTCCAACCGATTCTTGGACAAACAAAGGATGGCTTCACAATGCAGCAGAAACTGAAAAAAGAGAAGAAAGGGAACTTTTTTCTTTGCTCTTCCCCGAAAACAGCTGGTTTCATGTAGCAACCTTTCTTGCCGATCCCACACGGAATCATTGCGTTGAAATCCGTTTAATCCGTTTGAGAAACACCGTTCACGGATCAGAACCGGTCGGTTTCGGACTGCTTGAACCATTTCAGCTCGAGGTCCAGAAAGGTTTGATTCGTTTGAGGGTTTCGAGACAGATGTAATGTCAGTTCGTTGACGCCCAGTATCGAGAGTCGCGCAAGCATCATCCCTCAGCTGGGCACAATCTTAGTACAGAACTTCCCAGCAAGGCACATCCATGTACACTCGAGCGGGCGTAGAGACATCTCCAAAACTGTCCCCTACGTAGCCACTTGGCTCTTCGCTCCTACGTCTGGTCGTTTGCCAGTCTGCGCTTGAAAAGTCATTAAACACTGGTCCTAGATCCTGGGCTTCACGTCTTGGCTCGTCCGTCGTGTCGTCCTCGCCGCTGTCGATGTAGTTCGTGAACCTGCCGCCGTCCCCCGGTCACGTTCTCCGAGTCGCCCTCCAAGCAGTGACAGAGCATCACGCCCTCGGGCTCGTCAAAATCAACTTCCAAGAAGTGGGCTTGTTGCTCCTTGGCCTGGCCTGCGGGAACCGGGCATTCCTTTTGCCAGTGGCCCAGCTTTCCACAACGCCTGCAGCGTGTACGCTGCTTGAGCTCGGTAATGCTCAACTTGTACGTGCCAGATCGCAAAGAGCCGTCCTTGCCACTGCCCTTGCCAGTCTGGCGGTAGCTTCGCCCGAGCTCGCGATCCTTTTTGATCTGAGCTGACTGCAAGTACGTTTTCTTCTTTTCCTTGAGCATGACGGCAAGGATCTCTGCCGCCTCGTCTTCCTCGAACGTCCCTATCTCGTCCTCCTCGTCATGTAGCCGGATCTCGGTGAGGTCGGTGAGCATCGCCTTAATTTCCGCGATCTTCTCGTCCGCGTCGTCCTTCGTCTCGCTGTCGTCGAGGTGGTGGATGGCGTTTGTAGTGGTCGACAAGGTCGCTTTAGAACCCTGGGTCGCCACGAAACCTGAAGCTTCGTCTCATGCTTCCGCAACCAGGTCCAGATTGCTGTCGGCTCAATTTATCCTTGAGTGAAGGTCAGCAAGGTCTTGATCTCTTGATCCGTCAAGGACAGGGCATTGATCAGCAGAAAGCCACGATAGATAGCAGGCAGTTCGACGTTGTGTTCGCGAACCTGCCGTTCAGCAGACTCCCACTTGGCCAAGAATTGACGTGCTGTCTCATTCTTTTGGCACTTCAAGTGGTAGGTAACCTTCGACAGAGCCGCAAGCAGATGTTTATTTTCCTGGTCATCGCCGTAGAACTCCGGCTTGTTCACTTGGTGAGGAGTGTCTCAGCGTTGTTGACGTCCTGAAGCCACTGTGGATCCTTCGCGAGGTGCTTAAAGTCTTGGAATGGTGTGTCCTTCAGGGCCTTCAGGAGCAGGGGTCCACGTGTCCGGGGTTTGGCCCTGGTCGTGGCTAACCAGATACGAGCTCGTGTCAAGTTCTTCGAAAGCGCACTGTGCACCGTCCAACTCAGGAGGTGGCCCAGCGTTCGTCTTGCTGTGGTCGTCATATGTCGTCATCATTGTCATCGTGATCTCGGCTTCTCCTTGGTGGTGAGCGTCTTGGCGAACCACGATGTCTTAGATAACCTGGCGCCCGCTGTCTGAGCCATCTCGTGAACTCTTGGGCTTCGGCTTCCTCGTCTTCAGGCAGCTCTATGGCAGAACCTGCTTAAGCCTCTAATTCAGAATCTGCAGGCACCGGCACATGATCCGCGCCGTGACTCGTCATGGCACTCGAGCGCAACCCCACGCGCCCGTCGCCCGCAGCGCTTGACTTGCTGTCTACCTACGCCCCTGGTCGTACCCAGGGGCTCCGCTACCACTGCAGCTCCCACAATAAGAAACAGGGCCCTTAGGGTGGTGCAACACCGTTGCGCATCCCCTTTTCACTACTTGCGCTGCGCACGGATCTGAATCGCCACAATCAGGCAGTGCCTGCGTGGATGACAACTGCTGTGCATGGTTCAGACAAAGTGTCTCCAAGCGAAATTACATCCTTCGATCTGCGCGCACGTGCTCACCGCGTACTGTCTCTGGTAGCTCAACGCGGGGGTGTGATCATTCTGGAAAACCTTACGTCTACGTCTAGCCTGGTCCGGCTTGATCCTGCCTGCTTCTCATGGTGCCGCCTCTGGGTCCGCCACGCTGCCAACGTTGCAGCCTGCCAGCATGGCCTTGACATGGATAAACGCTGGCTATTCGTCAGCAATCGCCCATGTGTTGACTCCTTTGCCTCTGTCTGTTCGCATATTAATCTCGTTCATGCGGCGTTGGCCGGCCGGATGGGTCTTTTAAAGCTCGCCTGTCCGCCTGCCCTCCGTCGTTGGCCGCTGCCATTCGCGGCGTGTGCACAGTTCCTCTGTGTTGCATCTGAAGACGTCTCCTTCCGAGCCTGAAAATCCGCATTGCTTCCTGCAAGCCTCTTTCCTTTCGTGTAGAAGATGGCGGTGGGTTACCCGCACGGCTGTGTGGTGGTGCCCACGCACGCCAGACACATTTTCATCAGCCTTGCGCGCCCGGTGGTGCCGCGTTGTGGACTCCTGCCTGCGCACCCGTGTGGTTGATGCGCGACGCTTTGGCTCAAAGAGCCCGCCGTTGTCGCACTCGTAACGAGGTACGAGGG